AGACGAGAGGTGCGGCATACTCGCTTGAATGCTCACGTAGGCTACTGGTGCATCACACCGAATAAGATATCAAATTATCAGGCCAGCGGTGGTGGTGACCAGGAACATTCCTTCTCGTAACTGGTCAATATTGTTTATTGTAATTATTGTGAATAGTATTCAGGTGTTGGAGCATATTTCAAATAAATAATAAATTATAAACCGTTTACATCTGTGATTTATTTCCCAGGCAAAGACGCCACAGTCCGGTCAGAGACTCTGCAGAGACTTGATAGCGGAAGATGAATTTGATAATTTCATTTGTTGGGTCTTGGGAGTTGAATTTGATGTTTGCATCAAATAGTAAAACAGACATTTCTGCCTGTCAATTCTTAATAAAACCTTTGTGAATGAATGGGGTCAGGGTTGTAAGTTCGCATTTGAGCGCGGATGCCATTACCACATTTGATGTGGTTAATTTCGTAAGAAAATGCAATTTCGAGCTCCGTTAAATGCGAAAAAATTAAAACTGTACAAATAGAAACAATTAATATACGTTCTTTGGGGATAAAAACAAGAAAATCAAAAATTCAGAAATAATGAGAGCATACCCATAATAAAAGTTGATAATTGTTATAACATTTTTTTCTGATGCGATATTAATATTTTTGGTATTAAGCCCTCAAAAAATATAGCTCGATAAGGCGGTGAAAAGTGCCTCAAAACCAAATCAATAATTGCGATGCTCATATGAAAAAGATTAAAAAATAGTTTAGATTCCCAAAAAATCAGCCTCCTAAGGCAATCTGTCGCAGAGATATAACGAGAAACGTGTTTTTCAAGTTTAATTTTTCTGCTTTTATTGCATATATTTGGATGAAAAATTGCGGGGACTTTGAAAACAGTTGAATTTGATAGTATTATTGTCAAACAATTATGACGCCAATTTCAAATAGAAAAATAAATAAATAAATTTTTGAAATTAATTTTCGACGTGATAACGTTGAAGCGCTGTTTCAGTTGAATTGAATTTAATTGAATTTGCCTTATTTTACGTGGCGAGAGTTCCCCCAAATTATTTACAACATTCTATAACAAAGTCTATTTTTTCAGAATTAAACAAAGTGGACGGTACTGAAAAAACAAAATTAAATGATTAAAAATTATTTTGTACAGCCCTGATTTTGGGAATAAAACTGCAGGGATGTTTTTTTCCTAGAGCCTCAAATTAGCCTTAAATTTTGGGTAGGATTTTAGAATTTTTTAATGTTTTTTGATTTAAGTGTTTAATCACCCAATATAAACCATGTTAATTGTTTCTCTTCATACAGCCCTGTTTTGATGTGTGGTTTCATAAATTTTAATTGATTTTAAATGGATTTTCTAGGTGGGCGTTGCTAGTTTTAGACTAAATGTAGCAGCGCCCACGATTTCGGGAAATCCAAAAGAGCGTAAACTTTTGGAAATAGAACCTTTAATTACCCTCAAAATTGGCTTAAAATTTTCGAAACAGAGTTTGGTTGAAATTGGTTTTTGACCGCTGCTACCTTTAGATGGCCAAAAAATTGTACATGACCATATATCAAAATCTATCTTTAAGGAACATATTTTATTAAGGAAAAATCTTTGTCTTAAATATTGTAGTTGTGGGAAGACGCCAAAAAATTTGAATTGTGGCATTGAAAAGTGGATGCTGGCTACACCCCGTGTTAGATTTTTTTTCAATATTTAGCAACTGGATTTATCCACATTTTCGTTACCAGACCCTGTAATTTTGTTACTGACGAAAAGTGTCTGTTTTTACGCGCTGCATTACATAACTTTCTCTTCTTAAGAAGCTCTTTATTTAGCGCAACAAAGCGAAAAAACACTTTTTCGGTACCAAGAGACCCCAAACGTGTGTTTCCGTTGAAATCTCGAAATCGATTTTCCACAGCATTACATAACTACGCTACCCGAATATTACTCCGTTTATATGTAAGTATACGGGATAATAAGCGAATGAGTGAATAAACGGATGAATAAAGGAAAGAATAATGGAATTAATAAATGAATCAATAAACGAATAAGTGATATATGAATTAGCGAATGAAAGAATGAGTGTGTGATGAATGAGTGAATTGTGGCGTCATACGGGTGTAATCAGAACACAGAGAGTGGTTTGTAACAACAGGTTTATTCAAATCTAGACCGCAGTCACAATTAACAAATTACACTGCTTACAATTAACTAAATGAATAAAACTCACTATTAGGAGAGATAATTTACAGAACGGCTACCACACCGCAACATACGACCAATATTCCCTGTGCGGAGCACCGCTCTACCCTGAGACCAACTACATGTCACGACAATGAATTGCCGGCCCTTTGCCCTTGTGCACCTACTAGCACAAACTCACGCACCATTTGCTGCAGACACTGCTGGTAAACATGAAGATGGGGGCTTTTTTTTGGGGGGGGGCTTAGCCAAAAGTTTATGTACTATGTGTTGCAGTGCGCACGCAATTATGCGTTTTACTGCTATGTGTAAGTGGCTGGTGTAAGTTCGTGTCGTACCTTAGTCAATAGCCAAATCGGTTTTTGTGTTGTACTACGCCCTTAGAATATCAGAGGGGAGCGCTTCTCTTATTTGCCCTACTGTAAGGACGTGTCGAGCTGTTTTAACGTTGCCGGAGCTTCGTCGGTTTGAAAAACTTGATAGGTTTTGTTAAACGAAAGCCGTCTCAGTCATTGAGTGAAGGACTCGATATCAAGTTCCTTCCTCTGTACTTTCAGCCGTTTCCGAATCGGAGGGTGTGCTATGAGCCGTAGAACTTTGTTCTGTACCAGCTCAAGTGTATCCTTGTTCTTCTGTGCCGCAGCGTAGGTGGCCACAGGCCGGCAACACGTTTTGTAAAGTGCCAAATCAAGTTCCAAGGGGAGTGTAGGTTCCCTGTAGTAGTTGAACTCTTTTTTGTAAATATTATTCGAATTCGCCTGACATGTAAATGCCATCTCAGCCTTCGATCAAAAGTGACGCCTAAGTAGGTTGCCTTAGGCGCCAATGTTAGTTTTTATGTACCAACTGTTTTTTGTTTTGGTGGTGTAAAACGTTTGGCATATTTGTGTTTGGGGTTGGTGTAACAGATGGCCTGCGACTTTTCCGCTGAAAAAGTCAAGTGGTTTTGTTCCACCCATTTCAGCGTCAGGTTCATCTGTTTTTGAATTACTTTGGGTTTGTGGTCTACGTTCGGGACATTGCTCTCGTGGCCTTATATGGGCCCTACCCGCCGCCCCCGTTGCCTTCACTTTACCGCCGCTCTACCACGCCACGTCCACGGAAAGTCCCACTCCGCCCTTAGATACTGCCTTTGCTAAATGTGCGGCGAAGCTTTGTTAAACCGGCGATGCCTGCCGTCTGCTCAGTGTTTTAGGGAGACACGACGCTACAGAATGCATGAATGAATGAATAATGAGTGAATGAATGATATTCAAATTTAAATTTAGATGGTAACCACTTTCTATTAAGAGTCTAACGCTTATTTTAAAATCTCAAGTATTTATCGATTATCAAAACAAGTAAATATTATTTATTTTTATATAATTTTGTATAATATACTATTAATATAAGCCTACCAAAGTTTTGTTCATGATTTTGGAGAGCCAATGTTCAGCACTGACAGGAAAATATAGGTTTTATAGTAGGCCCACAGTTTGCCGTGGCGAATCGTCAACGTCAAAGAAATGTTTCGCTTCCCTTCATTATTCGGTTGGTTTTATGATTTCTAATCTTTATGTGTTTTTCATTTTTTCATATAAAAATGCATTTCCTTTCTTTGGGCGCTTCAGACGACTGTATCGGATACAGTACCTGGTTTTGTAAAAATGTGGTTTCGCATAAGAGATTCCCATTCGTTCTCTATGTTCTATTTTGCTGCAAGGCCTATGACCTTCGAGAAGGTTGCCTACTGAGGATATGGACGTACAAATCACGTGACTGACGAGATTACGCAAACGCATCTGGTATACAAGTCTCGGCTCCAATAATTCCATGCATTGGTGTCCAGGCGCAGGTTTCTTCATCAGTAGGAGTTGGTAATATAGCAGTTAAACACCTTAAGTAGAAAAATGTTTTCTTCAAACTTCGAAACAATGTCAAGATCGAAATGCCAATAATTGGGGTAAATCAGGGATTTTATGGTAAAGAAAAGGAAACTTTTCACCTTATCTTCTGTACCGTTTGCAGCAAACACACGAAAAATCAATGTGTGCAATTTGGTGCTAAATAAGTGTAAGAAGTAAAAAAATAACTTAAGACCTACCACAACTCTTCAAAAAATCAAGTGTTTATCAAATCAGCCCCACCTGATGGGGATAACACGAAACATTGATGGGGCTAAAGTGATACAGCTTAATATCTCTATGAATTTTCGTTGAAAAAAAAAAAAACACCGACAGCGTGCTACAGTAAGACACCTTAGGGTCTTCTGTTTCAACAGTATTATTTTGATCTTTTGCTGTATCCAAATACAGTAACATTTTTAGTTCCTGCTATATGGTCATTAATCATAGTATATATTTCATATTAATAATTTTGGATACCAAAAAATAAAACGCACCCACGTATCAGGTCTCAGTAAGTAGTGAAGTCAATCGATGTTTTATTCACAAACCATTTTCTACTTTTTATCGCATCTCCTACCCGATCTTTTAGGAGACGCCACTAACGGTTTGTGATTTTTATGCGTGTGCAAAAAATTAAAAATGAGTTCCGGCTAGTTGCAAAGACTGCAAAAAGTAATAAATATACTTACAAGTTGTCTGGAGTCAGTAGGAGGTGATTTGCCTGGAGCGAATTTCGTACTTATATTATTTAAAAAATCAACCAGAAGTATTTGAAATAAACTTATATATTCATATTTTGTGACCATATTTATACTATTTTTAGGTCAAATGTTTGCATTATAAGTTAGGTTAATATAATCCTGCCCTCATGTGTTGAAAAATTAAATTAAATACTTTGTTTTAACTTTCTTTCAGTTTTCTGCCTTTTTCAATAAACCATCTTCTGTTCCAAAAGAAAAAGAAAAGAAAGTATATGAAGTTCTGGGATGGCTGAATGAGTATTTCATTAAGACAGAATGGGTAGCTGGAAATCACATCACTCTAGCTGATGTATTCTGTTCTGCATCAGTGTCACATTTTCAGGTAACTGAAATTATTTTTTTTATTACGATTAATGTCTATACTGTAAAGAATATTGCATCATCTGCTGGAATTCAATGCGCGGATTGCTTCATCTGCCGGCGCCCCCCGAACTGGACGGTTCCGGGTTATTCGCGAGTCGCGTAGAAGTGTGGCGCAAGTTCCGAATGGGTCGAGACGGGAGCCAGCCAGGTATAAATTCTCTGCCACCAGCGGCCGCGAGTCAGTCAGTGAGTATACAGTCTGAAGTGGAAGCTGAGCTGTGAAATGTGCATTGCGGTGAACAGCGGCGCAGAGGAATGTGGACAGAGCATCAGACAGTGGTAGGTGCATCGGACTTTGCGATAATGTAGAAGATGTGAACAGTGTAAATAAATATTCAGAACTGAACAGTGTAAATAAATAATCGAGAGAAGTGAGTCGTGTGTAAGGAAATAACCATGTGAAGAACACAAGGGCTGTGCAACCTAGCTGTAAATAATGTGTAAGTAATTTTAGTGTATCATTAAGAAAAAATAAACGTCTTTGTTAAAATATTAACTGTTTTAATTGACCACTAAGAAACGTTACAATACATTATTTGCATGGAGGGTATAGCTACGTTCTTGTAGCCTTCCATGTAGAAGAACGCAATGGGTCCTCTTAACTGCAATCGCCAAATGTGAAACCTGGAACTTTGAACAAACCTGTATAAGGCTACAATATTGCAAATTAGATTTATCTATTTAACATTCGTACCGTTGGCTGCATTCAACATGTTTCTTTTGTAATGTAGAGCGGAGTGTTTCAGGAAGAAAACCAATGCATCTGTTTCTCTAACATTATCTGAGAAGGGTGTTGATAAGCTTCTTTTTTATCTGCTGCGGTGATAGCCCGTTGTGTTCCAATATTCTTAAATGGGCCAGTGTGACAGAATTCATCGTGCAAGCATTCTTCGTGTATGGTCCTTACATTCTGACATAGCCTTCTTGCTTTCATAATATTTTTTTCGTATTCCAGCATTATAAAAGAACCTTTTCTGTTGCAAGAAATCGTTCATAATCGGACATTTTACGGCACAAGTGATCACACATTCAGCCAATCGTAGCGAGAGAATCGGGGGAGGTAGAGCTAAACGGAACAGCCGACCACCGTTTACTCACACAATGTCAAGTCCCCGAGTCGTCACCGGGAAGTTGTTTCGCAAAATTACGTATGATTCTCTAATAAATGTATAATTATTTTATACAAAAAAATATAGTATGTAACTCGTTTATAATGTTGCTTTATTACATTCGTACAAATTTGAAAACTTGGTCCTAAAGTCGCTCGTTTTCAAAACATGTACTCGTGCAATAAAGCTCAATATTATAAACTAATTGCATAAATTACTATTTCTACAACTAGTGTGTTTTAGTATTTCATATGTAGTGCGTTTCATATATACTTAGTGTTTGTGCGTGTTTCTTGTGAAAAGAAAACATAAATATTAGAAAACTAACATGTAATTAATTTTTGTAATGAGTGAACTTTTAGGCTATTTTATTTTTGTTTAGTTTCATAATTTTCATAAATATTTTAGGTCTGAGACTTTAAATCCAGAAGAAACGAGAAGAACTCTTCTAGAATTGGAGGCTGGGGAAGGAGGAAACTTGAAAGATAGTGAATATAGTGAAAAAGAAATTGATATCCAAAGTGATTCGTAACAAGAGGGCAGTAAAATTCGTGATGAGGGAGAAAGCAGTAACAATTTTTGTTCATTCGAAGAGATAAAATTTCAAAGTGGAGTAAAAATACATGTGCTGAATTTCCAAAACAAAAAGAAATAATATAGTAAAAGTGCCTCCTGGTTCTAAAAATACTGACGTCGTTAAGTCAGAAATAGAATCATTTATGAAAATGTTTACTGTTACAATAATAGATCAATAATGATGGGCAGGAATTGCTAGAATTATGCGAAAGATTTAATCTCGAAATCTTAAATGGCAACTATGGACAGCATACAGAAGGGGAACTAACTTTTATTAGTGGGAATGGAGGTAGTGTAATAGATTACGCTCTGTTGTCGCAGGAAAGAATACACAATTTATTAGATTTTTGGATCGAATTACGGGCAGAATCTGATCATTTGCCTGTGTGTGTGCATTTAGCAGTAAATGCTTCTGCGCTGCCATCGGTAGGGGAGCGGGCAGGAGCAACGAACTTACCAATAGGAAGATGTTTGTATGTAAAGAGGAAAAGCGACAGGAATTTTTACAGGGTATTCTTAACTCGGCAGGCTGTGCGCGAGAGGATAGCTCGCCGGAAACGCAGAGAATGAACTTAGAAAGGCGGCTCTACCGCGCAGGGAAGGGTATGCGAAGGTGGGGGAGAGGAGGAAGGGAACTGACCCAAGGGTGGTTTAGCGAGGAGTGTCGGGAGACCAGGCGCGAAACTATAATATCCTTAAGGAATTTCAGAAACAGGGGAACGGAAGAAGCTAGAAACAGTTATTTGCTATTACGTAGGCAGTACGAGGCCACAATTAAGAAATCGAAGAAATCTTGGCAGGAGAGTGAGGCAGCAAGAATACAGGCAATTCTAAGAAACGATTATAGTAAATCAATTTGGGACGTTATTAGATCTTTGCGTAATAAAATAAATTCAAGTAATGAAATTTCAGCAGACGCGTGGGTGCAATATTTTTCACGGACGTTCACAGTAGAGACCATTGAAACAGGGTATTTTCACTGACCGGAGTGTGTCTGAATTAGACGAACCTCTAACCTGGACTGAAGTAAATAGGGCTATTGTAACAATGAGTAATAAGAAGGCAGGTGGCGCGGACGGCATTCCGACAAAATTTATTTCGTAATTGTGGCACATAGACCCAGAATGTATTATGAAGTTATTTAATGCAATTGCTGATTCCGGCTCGTATCCAGAAACATGGAGTACAGCTATC